AGGAGAAGATGCCGCCGCTGGCCGGGTCGTGGCCGTACTCGGGCTCGCCCAGGCTGGAGGAGCCGCCCTTCTCCTCGCTGTAGGCCTGGCCGGCGGCCATGGCGGCGGCGCGGCGGGATGCGGCGGCCGGCGGGATGCGGGCTGGGATGCTGGGATGCAGCTGATGTCAGGATCATGTGGAGCTGCGGGACAACGCTAAGCTGCCGCCGCCGCCGCCTCTTAAAGGCGCAGGGGGATGCGGCCCCACGGCCCCCTCCGTCCCGCGGGGCCTGCCGGCCACCCGCACAGGCATGGAGCCGGGGGGCATCTGCCCCACAGGGAGGGAAAACGGGTGGTGGAGCCGCCTGGGGAATCCACAGCTCGGGATGCCGAAGGGAAGTCCTGTTGTCTTTTGCAGGAGCAGATGAAGGAGGGAGGGAAGGGCTGGGGCTGTGCCCTGCCGTGGCGGCACTGCCATGCTGCGTGCCCGGGTCCTGGGCTGCCCGGGCCCAGAAGAGGATGCGGGAGTGTGACAAAGGCCAGAGAAAACATGAAAACACCCCGCTGTTTATTTATGTGCCGAGCTCCGTGTGGATGCGACTCCCGCCGGACTCCAGGCACCGCTCACACCAGCCGGCTCCGCTCCTGCGGGAGACGTGGGCGGCCGTGAGGGCGGGCGGCGCGGCCGGGCGCCCCTCGCTCCCCAGGGACACTCACYGGAGCCGAGCCGCGCTCGCCGCCCCGACGCACAACCTCAACCTGCCAAGGAAGAGCCCCGTGGAGCTCAGGCTGGCCGCGCGGCGGGCAGGGGACGCCGTCGGGGCGGCCTTGTCCCCTGCCAGCACTGCCGACTCACCAGCTCCGAGCAGAACTCCGCCAAGCCCAGGAGGGAGAGGGCGAAGTGGATGCAGTTGTTGGCGGTGAGCGAATACTCGGCCTGCCCGTTCATCGCCTTCCGCACTTCTCTTCTGAATTGGTCAAGGTTGACCCCATCCTTTTTGCGGAAGATTTGGCATTTCCCCCGTTCTTGTAACATCACGTGGTAGCCTTCCTTGCTGATCCGGCCTTTGCCCTGGCCATTGCTGCTGTCTGGAAAAGAAAAACCCAGCAAGAGCCACCCACTGCCTCCATGGCTGGCGGGACACCGAGGTGGAAGGGACCTCAGCAGCAGTCAGGGCTCCAAGGATCATCCGAAAGGATGACGAGGGCCTTCTGCCTTGTCCCGGACAAGGCTTCCCCCTTCCCTGGCTGGCCTCACCTCTTGGTGGTCTCCAGCATCAAACTGGTGGCTTTACCTCTGTTTTCTAAAGCAGTTTCACTGTGTACTTTAGGAGGAAGGAACGGGTGGTTCCAGCTTCTTCCTCCTCAGTTTGTCACACACACTGGGGGCTTAAGAAGTAAGCAAGAGGCCACAGACTTACTTTGAAAGTGTATCACCTCTCCTTCTTCACAATAAACCGCAGCGTGTATATAGCTAAATSGAGCAGCGGGATGGCAAAGCTGCAGTGGAAATAGTATGATATCTCCAATTTGGGGCCTCTGGTTGTCAATTCTATTAAAGATCCTCTGACCACGAACTGTCTTGGAAAACAGAAACTCTATTGACAATGTCTCTCTCTGCAAAAAGTATGAAAAAAACGAGATGAGGAAAAGCTTAGTGAAACACTCATGGTGCCTTGTGTAGAGAAATGGGAAAAGAGGGAGTCCATCGAAGCTCTTTTAACTTACCAGAGAGCTACAGCTCTGTAAAAATAAAAGAGAAACATCATTTCAATCTGCATGAAAGCTTCCCCAGGTCCGGCCTCTTGCCTCCCCTTGCAGAGCAGCAGCTCCCTTTCCCTCCAAGCTAAACCTTGAGCGTGCCCGCTCCTACGAGCCGTAGGGARGAGAGAATCCCTGAAGGGCTGAAGTGGGAAGGAACCTCCAGAGACCATGCAAGCTCAAACCCCATGCAAGCGCRTGCCTCATTCTGTGCTAAGTGCTGCACAAATGGCTCTCTGAGCATCTCAGGGCATCTCACCCATCCAACCTGCTGCCAGCCCATCCTCTGCTGATGGAGGTTCCTGCACATACCTCTTGTCACCCTTTCCTCTAGCTAAACCAGTCTCTGCAAACACTGCTCACTGAGGAGAGATGTAGGAAAAGAGGGAGTCCAGGAAAGACATTTCTACTTACCAGACAGCTACTTATCTGTAAAAATAAAAGAGAAAAATCATTTCCGTTGGCAGGAAACCCTCCCCAGCTTGGTCCTCCCTCTTTCCTTCCCTTGCAAAGYAGATGTTCCTTTTCTATAGACACAATACTTTTAGTGGGTCTGAGTATCCCCAGAGAAGGAGATTCCGTGCCCTCTCCAGGCAACCTGTTCCAGTGCTCTGTCACCCTCACAGCTAAGATGACTTTCCTCATATTCAGGTGGGGCTTCCTATGTCTGAGGAAGTATCTGAGGAAGCGTTCACTCCTAGAACGGGAAATGAAGGCACCTCCTTCCCCCATTCCGTGYTAAGTGCGGCACAAATCGCTGTGTCTGCTGCTTCCTGTTAGCTGTGCTCTCGTAGGCCCTAGTCCCTGGTGGAAACAGCCGTCTGTCCACAAAGCCCTTAGCTGTGCCCAGTCCTTCGGAGCAGCCCAGGGCACCTCACTCATCCAGCCCGAGGTTCCTTCACACACCTCTGGTTACCTGTTCCTCTGGATAAAGCTGTCCCTGCAAGCACTGCTCATGCTGCCTTGTGGAGACACGTGGGAAACGAGGGAATCCAGCAAAGCCCTTTTGACTTACCTCAGAGTTACTCATCTGTAAAAAATAAATAAATAAGTAAATAAAGAGCATTTCAGTTTTCACATGACCTCTCCCAACATAGTCCTCCCTCTTTCCTTGCCTTTCAAAGCAGCAGGTCCTTTTCCATACACTGCACCTTGAGCGTGCCTCCCCCTACCAGCTCATAGGACTGTTTCCTCAAGTGAAAAACCGCTAGTCCTGAGCAAATTCCTCCAATTCCTGCTTGGTGCCTGTGCTGCTCCTGGCTCACATTCCTGTTTGTAGGCACACATGGAGCAGTCTCAGCACAGGCAGGAGCAACCCATTATATTGCATCCCCTTTGCAGGGCTGGGAGCCCCCTCACCTTGGCAGTTGGGATCCAGTGGATTTCCTATCCCCTGTCCTGATGGGGCTGGAGCAGTCGTGTGGCAGCGAGTGCTCTGCTCGGCGCAGTGTCAAGAAGTGCGTTGGGTGCTGGTGGTTTTGAGTGGAGGAGGGTGGAACCCTCCAGTTCAGCCTGAATACACAGACAATGCTGAACATTCCCAGAAGTGAAAGAGAAAGCACAAAAACAAAACCAAAATGAGCTGGGGAGACTGCCTTCAGAAGGCTTTTCACTTAAAACCAGCCTAAATATCAACCAGCCAAAGTTGCTGGTGCCATTTTTAATACCTAGATCTGAACWCATTAACTACAAGAGCAGCTGTAGGTGACACGGCGTCACGGAACGAGTGGTGACAGGGGTGAGTGACAAATGCACTTCACTCACATGAAAGAAATAATAACAGGATTTATTAATATGGACAATGATTTCAAGAGATTCCGTGGCAAGGTTGCTTATTATTTACTGCTTGGAGGCTCAAGATAATACACAATTATCTTGGATACCCTTCTGTTGAGTCACGAGGTTCAGATTGGACCCCCTTGCTTTCCAGGCTCCTTCTGAGAGGAGTCTGGGTGCAGCTGGATCCAATCCTAGTCCTAGACCTGGTCAGCGGTTTATGACTAAGGGTTCTTGTGCACAGTTACAAAGTGAAGTTAAAGAAAGAGAGCACGCTATGTTCACTTGCCACAAATCTGTTGCGGAAAGGCATCTCACCCTCGAGGAGGAACCTTGAGAGGYRTCCCTGCCCAAGGGGAGATCCTGATGTGCAGCCCRCAGCCKTGCCAGGAGAGCTCCAGGGGCTCTCGGGATGTCCRCATATTTACAGGATAAGATGATTGACTTGTAGTCATTCTTTCATTTCAGAGGCCCGTTGGCTGGTGCATTAGCCTGATCTCCCCATCGGGATGCAGCCTTCAGGACTGTTACGTTGAGTCTAAGTGGGAGAAGAAATCAGGATGGTGGCGCCTACCAGGATTAGATAAATCGCTGGTGGTTAGCAAYTGAACAGGGCTGCATGTAAGGTACAGGCCAGGTTGAGCTGGGAAAGGAGCATATCCGYCACACATGGCCACTCCTGGAGATGCACCTCCAGACACAGAAGCCATCTCAAAACCAGCATGGGACTCTCATTTTTTATTAGCTTTCCCTTTAAAGAGCACTGCCATCTGGTTTGAGTCCCTTGGTTAAAACATTCCGGTTTGGAAGCAGTGAAACTCTGTGTTAAACCCTTCCCCACTGCTGCTGCTGTTGCTCCATCACCATGGTGGGGAAGTCACAGAGTGGGCAAGAAGAGAGGCAATAAAAACGGAAGGGGAATATTTTCATATATTTTCCATGCCAGGAGCCAGGGAAGCGAAAGATTATCTTTGAGGGCCAGAGCAGAGCTAAAGGCCTGGGATCTTTCTTCAAAACCTCCTGCTGCCTCGAGGGTGCCTTGGGGCAGGTAACCTCTGCCGCAGGAGGGGACGCACCAGCGCTGACCAGCAGCAGATGGGATACGAGCTTCCCAAAAGGAGAAAGCAGCGTGATCAGATGGGATTTCTTGTGTTTCAGGACATATCTTGAGGAGAGTCTTTGGTCCTAGGACACCTTGTACAAGGTCTACCTTCTTCAAAACCTACCTCCTTCTACAAATACGTTGAAGAAGAGGAGGGCCAAGGAGAATCTCCATCCTTTCCTGGTTGTGATGGGCAATATTGTCACCAAGGATGAGGTTAAGGCTGTGTTACTTAATGCCTTCTTTGCCTCAGTCTTTAATACCCAGATCAATTATCCTCAAGATACCTGTCCCCAGAGCTGGAATACACCTAATATACACCTATATTTCCCCTAGAGTGCAGAATAAACCCCTCCTAATCCCAGAGGAAACAGTAGCAGGAGAACTTGTTAGTCCACTTGGACACCTGCAAGTTTGTGGGGCCCGATGGGATCCACGTGGGGGTTCTGAGGGAGCTGGCAAAAGTGCTCACCAAGATGCTC